CCGCGAGAATACGAGAGGCGAGTAACTTGCTCGATCCAAGTGGGCCACACACGTGCACACATACGCACACAACACATACAGACACGCACATACACGCGCGCGCGCATTTGCGGTATTTCCTCCCACTTAAAGGCGCCCTCCTAAAGGAAATCCTCTGTCTTTGCCTCTTTGTTTGCCGGCGCCACACCGCCGAGGATGGGCCGAGGATAATAATGACGATGACGACGACGACGACGACGACGACGACGACGACGACGACGACGACGGCGGAGGCGACAATGACAATGATCGTGAACGTGTGCCAGAGTCACATTTGGGTGTGTTTATTCTTTTTTTTTTTTTTCGCGAACGGTTATTTTAAGGATACATATGGCCGACTAAATATACAGACCGGCGTTTTTAAAGTAGCGCATGCTGCCGAGCGGCCGTCTCCGTCGGGACGCACACTTCGCCGAGCTTCTAGTTAGTTAGAGTAAAAAATAGCGTAAACGGCACTGTATTAGGAAGAAGCAAAATACATGTTACATTCTCGTTATTTTATCGTTGATAAATGCTATAGTGTTTTTTTTTCCCTTTAAAAATCTTCTGGTATCGCAATGTTATTACATTATTATGATTATTCTTAGGTATTAATTATCATATTATTATTATTATTATTATTATTATTATTAATGTTCGCTCATTTTACAATGCCGCGCGGGGGAGACCCAAACGCGGCTCCAGCAACCCCCGTCGGAAAAAGAAACATCACCGACACTGTCTCTCTCTCTCACTTGTCAGACTATAAACGTCGAGGAGGGCGGGAACGGGGATACTCGTCCCGCCGCTCTATTTTTTTTTTTTTCGCCGTATTCCTCATTCTTCCTCACTTAATTACAAGCGACGAAACGGGAGTCTCGTTCTTCCGCGGTCGTTCATTCGCGTTTTTAATGTATTAACAATCGCGAGACTCTAGCCGTCGTGGCAATGGAGTTTTCGTTGAAACGCGAATTTCGAAAATACAATGTCCTCTTCTTTTTTTTCCTCTTCTTTCTCTT